CCGAGGAGAAGCCGCTCCAGCAGAGGGCCACCGCAGCCCATCAGCGAGTTCAGCTCCTCGAGAAGAGGCTCAACGGCGAAATCGACAAGTTGGAGAAGTGGAGAGCCTGGTGTAACGAGAAGGCCGCAGTTGTCCAACAGCTCTCGAGCGAGCTCGAGGAGGCCGACGCGCAGCACAACGCTTTGGTGGACCAATTACACAGCTCAGTGTGCGATAAGAAGGTGGTTACTCCTCAGCCTACTGGGCCTAAGCTTCGCGATATCGTGGACGGCAAGTTGGACTGTCTCGAGTTCGTGGACGCTGGGGAGATCTTCAGCGTGCCTGAGGACGAGTACGTGGTCACAGAAGGCGACAAGCATATTCTGCGCGACAGAACGAACGAGTTCAAGGCACACATCGCCAGGGTCACGAAGGAAGCCTTCGGCGGCATCATCAGCCAGTTGGACACGATCAAGCAGCAGCACGCGCAGCACATGGAAAGGTTGGGGAAGAAACGACGTAAAGCAGCAAAAGGAGAGGATCAAGCTGCAGGTGGAGGAGACGCAGCACAGGGAGCAGCAGCGGCGGCAGCTCCAGGGACAGGAGCTCCAGCTTCTGGATCTTCGTGTACGATCACAGCCGGGGCTGCTGGAGGTGGCGAGAACGTCAGGGAGCGAGCTCGACGTGCAGCGTCCCAGGCACCTCCCCCTGCACCAGAGCAGGCTGCAGCGGCATCCGCATGAGCGCGCAGGGGGACAGCCACCTGATGGGCCAGCTGTTGGGCCTGAGCATCAGCATCTTCTACCTCATCTGATAGCCCCCCCAGAGGGGCACCTTTTTGCGAGCGCAGTTGCGCCTCCTGCGGAGAGTCGGCGTGTGCCAGACCCTGCAGAGGCGCACGAGCTTTTAAATCGGCTGTGCCGTTTTCCGCCCCCCGAGCCAGGCTCCGAGCCCCTGGGTGAGTTTCTGCGTCTAGGCAGCCCTGGACTGGAAAGTTTTGAGATGGTTGTGGAGACGGCCAACGTCACCTCCTGGGGATCGGCTAAACCCTGGCTGCAACGTTCGGGAGCACATATTATCTCGCTGCAAGAGCACAAGTTGGCCCTCGACGACCAAATTGAAGAGGCCTCCAGCTGGGCCCTCAAGCAAGGCTGGAAGTCTCGGTTCGTGGCGGCTGAGGCTGGATTAGGCTCAGGAGCTTCGGGCGGGGTGGCGATCTTCGTCCGTTCGTTTCTGGGATGCTACGACCTGGAGGCCGGACACAAAATATGCAAAGCAAGAGCTGTCGGTTGTTGGGTGCAGATTCCTGGGGGTGAATCGATACGTTGCATCTCGACCTACTTGCGCGATTCCGAGGGGCTCTCCGCTGAGAACCTCAAGATTTTGGCCACGATCGGAGCGGTGGCGCAGAGCTACCGCACGCCTCACATCATCGGAGGCGACTTCAACATGGAGCCAGCTGAGCTACATGAATGTGACTTGGCGGGCAGTTTATCCAGTTGCATAGTGCATCCAGAAGTGAAGGGTACTTGTGCAACGACGGCCTCGAGCACAGTCAGGCTGTTAGACTACATGGTGGTCTTGGGGGGGCCTGTCGAAAGGTACCCAGTCCACCGGGGTGATTTTGGAGAGCGATCTGAAGACTCACACGCCCGTCCAAGTTAAGTTCTACCCCACCCTCGCGGACATTAAGTTCCTCACGTTCTCCAAGCCCCCAGTGGTACCCGCGCAGCGCCCTATAGGTCATTTTACGGTCTCTCATTGGTTCGCGAAGGAGCCCCGCGTAATAAGATACAGAGGCGCATGAATTTGGCCTACAAGATTTGGGCCAACGCGGCGGAACAAGAGTTGATTGCCAGCCGACAGATCGACATCCCGCTATTCGGTGCAAGGGGCAGGTTGCCTAAGTTGATTTGGAGGTCAGCTTTAGAAGTAGACAGAAGGAAAGACGTCAGGCAACCTGCGCTGTTCACGCTGCGCTGGTTGGAGAGCACGTTCCGTCTTTTTATCAGCCTGCTGCACGCCCTGGACGTTTCGGCGGCGACGGAGGCTCCGGCTTCCGAAGTTGGGGCGACGGCGTGGTTGCCGCAATCCGATATGCTTTTTGCGAGCCAAGTTCCGCCAGGACCGACAGTCCCCACGCCAGCGCGCTCTCGTGTGCACCGCCAGCTTCGTGGTGCACGTGCTTGCCTAGCCGATCCTCCGGCCTGAGATTTATGACAGCATCAAAGGCTTTATCCAGGTTCAGGACATTGATAAGGTCTTCGAGGTCTCGGAGGTTCTTGGGGATGTAGATTTGGGCTGCAGCATCTTAGATAAGATCTCCGAGGACTTAGGGGCGTACTCTTTGAAGGCTAAGTCGGAGGCTCAGTCTTGGAAGGCCTGGTTATGCGACGGGGTTGATAAATGGGCGGGGAGAGCTCATGCGTGGACTCGTCTCCCCAAAGCGTGACAACCCACCGCCACCCTCTCGGCCCAAGGGGCTGTGCTGGCGGACCCCAAGTCGTCGTTGGCCTCTGAGGCCCAGAAGTTTGATAAGCTTTGGCAGGCCTCCAAGACGCCAGAGTTGCCCGAACAAGTTGGGTGCATTCAGCCCCTCGATGTTGTGCCGCCACCGGAGATGAGGGCAGTATCGCATCGGTATAAGCTCACGTCCGCGACCTCCGTGGACGGCTTCCACATGCGCCACTTCAGCAGCATCGCTGATCAAGGTTTGCTGGCCTTGATGTCTTTATATGCTGTCATGGAGGCGACCTCCATCCTGCCGAATCAGGTCCGCACGATTGTGGTCCCGCTTTTAGCCAAACCTGCATGAGGTTGGAGACCTATTGGTTTGTGCAGGCGTTTTTTATCGTTTTTGGGGCAATCTTCGAAGACCCATAGCGGCGTCTTGGGAGGCATCCAATTGGCGCCCGTACTTGGCGGCGGGGCCCTTCTCAGGAGCTTCCGACGTGGTCTGGAGGCAAGCGGTGAGGTCTGAAAAAGCAGTTCGTCCAGGGCCCCCAAAGCAGTCCAAGAGTCTCAAGGGAACGCCCAAGAAAAGAAGAAAAGACGGTGGCCTGCACGGTTCTCTGGGACCTCCTGAAGTACTGCGAGACTATTGTGCTGTCCATCCTGGGAGATAGATGCGAGCTGCCCGCGTTACCGAAGCAGCTGTGCCGTGTAAGCATCGCCGCGTACAAGGGCCCACTCTTCTTGGCGATGGCCAGCATGGTGCATGGCCCTCACTTTTGCTTTTTTCAGGAGTTATCGCAGGCTGTTCTTTGGCGACCACATATATTAGAGCGTACGCCATCCCCACAGCAGACTGCATCACTTTCCCGCTCCGCACTTCCTTGAACATACACATTGGTGATTATGGCATGTCGTCCACAGGTGAGCCCAAGCAAGTAGCACATGATATTATTCACACGGTGGCACAGCTATACGTCGGGCTCACAGAAGAGATGCGCGTGCAAGTTGCCCAGGACAAAGCGTCGGTCATATGTTCATCCCACAAGACTGGAGAAGCCATCAGGCAAGCTCTAGGCGAGCACGGTGGAGCCTCTTATGTGGAATCTGCAGTGAACTTGGGCATAGATGATACGGCAGGGAAGAGCAGGAGGAGAAAGGGACGAGGACAGAATCAGCAGAAGAGAGCAGCCGTTGTCAAGAAGAGAACGAAACGTTTCAAGCGAGTCAAGCAGGTGCTGGGCAAGCACTGCCGGAGTATTTTCACGAGTGGACCTCTAGCAGGCCTGTCTTATGGAGCTGAAGTGCACGGCCAGTCTGATCACGAGTTGGCGACTGCTCGTCGTGCTGTGGGCTCTGTGTTACGGCCGTCTGCAGGCATGAGGTCCCTCACTTCTTTGTTGTTGTTGCACGGAGATCCGTCGTGGCATGGATCAGTGGCACCGGTGGTGCGCTACGCTAAGGAGGTCTTCTCGAACCAAGTTAGATCCTCGCTCAATACTTTGTCGTTCGGAGTTTCGAGGGAAGCTGGGGAGTCGGCGCACGGGGTCCCCAAAGAAGAGCTCGCCTGGAAGAAGGTCACGGGTCCCCTTTCAGCGCTCCGCCTCAGCCTCCTCAGGATCCAATGGGACATGAAGAGTTTCTGCGTCTTGGTCAACGATTTCGGAGAAGACATATTTTTAACGACCTGTTCCCCAGCGCTCATTAAGCAGATGTTGTATGATGGAGTTCTGAGACAGCTCAAAAGGGATGCTGGTAGAGTTCACGATGTACCCTGTCGAGTATGTTATGATGTGGCATCGTCTCAGCTTCGTTCGTCACGGTATACATACTACGAGAAGGGTTGTATCAAGTCGCTGGTGTGCGGAGGTGTGTGGACCAACGAGCGTGCGCTCGACTTGGGGTACGCTCTGCCATCAGCTCAGTGTCCTTTAGGCTGCGGAGCGCGTGACACGATCTTCCACCGTCTGTGGGAGTGCAGTGCGGTCGACGACGATAGGAGGGAATTGATCGACGATGACGAATTGATCACCCTGGCTAGGAGCATTGATCGATCGGACGCTAAGGAAACGCTCCTTTTCTCTAAGGGGCTGTTTGAACACCCTGGAGATGTACTACCACGCCCACGACAGCAAGGTGGCATTATCACTCACACGCCTGAAGGAACAGAAGACGTCGTAGATCCTGGCCAGGTCAAGGGATATATTTTCATGGGCGGGCCCTGCACCAGACACCCTATCAAGGAGCTGAGTAGGGCCACTAGGGGCTCTGTACAGGTCACCCAGGATGCTCAGGAGACCTGCTCGGTGTGTGGGCCTATATGGGCTCCGCTCCCTCAGACCCCCCAAGCTGGAGAGTTTGCAGCCCTCGCCATGGTTTCACAGAACCTTGGAGGCCCCTCGGGAGGTTTTCGGATTGCGCGAATGTGGTCAGCACCTTCGCGCTTCCTTCTGAGGCCAGGTTCTCCTATAAGAAAATGTATTCGGGCACCATGTTATTGGCCCATTCGTGTGACCTGTCTGCTGTTGGGAAAGTAAAAGCGCATGTGGCTGACAGTCCTGATTTAACTGCCCAGCAACGCTGGGGGAAATTCGGAAATGATGCTGCCGATCGCGCCGCACGTCAAGGACTGCGCGCCCACCCCACAGGCTCCAAGGCAGAGCTTGATGAAGTAGACAGGAAAGTTAAGGTTTCTCGTGCTGTTTGCAGGCTTGCGGCCCGTTTACTGCCCAAGTGGCCCGCCCTGGATCTCACGGGAGTCCACTTGAACCCCAGAGAGCCTCGCCAGAAGCCCGCTGGCCCTGAAACTTTTGAGCACGAACGGGAATGGCATAGGTCATACTGGAGGTGTGCTGTATGCCTCAAGATACGGCGGCCCAGCCGTGATTTCGTCTTTGGTAAGAGCGACGTGCCCTCAACAGGAGGTTGTACTGGGAAGGTACCAGAGTCGTTGCTCCAGGTGGCCGCCAGAGGCCACAAGTTGATGAGTTTCGATTACAGCGATCGGTCTCAGCTTTTCATTTGCGTTGGGTGTAAAGCTATATCTACGTTGGGCCCCCTCGCGCTGCTTGCTAAGGTTTGCAGGGCCCCAACGAGGAACAATTACGAGCGGTGGAAGTATCGAGTGCTCAAGGGACGCCATCCCAAGATCGACGGAGTCGTGATTGAGGCGTCTCCTGAGGACCTACAGGCGTTGGGCGAGGATCCCCAGCAGCACGATCTTGTCGTCGACCCGTCGTCCTCGTCGTCGGCCATCGTCTCAGCTGCTGGGGACCACGAGGTCCAGCATCCAAGGCATTTTGCCGATCAGGCTCCAGTGGTGGAGCCCCTTCTTGAGTGCGCCCAGCAGAGTGATCGAGTCGTCGACCCGTCGTCGTCGTCTGGCACCATCGGAGCTGCGGGCCCTCTTGAAGCTGTTTCTCTTTTTGCCCCACAAGCAGGGCCAGGTGCAGAGCAGGGCGCCTTTCCCCACGAAGAGGGTGAGGTGTCCGAGCGCGAGCAGTTGAGGCGTGTGACCACGTCTATTCGCGAAGAGGAGGACGAGGCTCCCTTGCAAGCTGCTCGTGTAAGCACCGCGGAGTCTGGTGACTTCGATTGACTTCTGGCGCCCACTGTGTCCGTGCGGCCCGTCCCGCTCAGTCACCGCCAGAGGTCTTTTTAACTGGCACCAACGCTGTGTCAGTCATGGCCGTGTTAAAAAAAATCCTCCTCCTCCTCCTCCTCCTCCTCCTCCTCCTCCTCCTCCTCCTGCCCTGCACCCTGTACTCCAGCGCGGAGGCGCCGCCGCGCCGCCCACCCGTAGGCCCGGGTGTCCAGGAGCCTTCTCTACCGAAGGACCCCCGGGGGCGGCAAAGAGCAAGGGCGCCCTCGAGGGCGCGAAGTTATTCGCGCATCGCGCTTCGCGGTTCGGCTCCGATTTGTCCTCGTCTTGGGAGGCGGCGCGAGAGCGCGAAGTTATTCGTTTTTTCGCGCTTCGCTCAGCGCGAAGCGCGAAGTTTGGAGCCCTTGAAGAGGGGGGGGATGATTATGGGGGGTGGATATCATGGCGGGGGGCATGATATTTCCTCTGATTTCATGGCGCCTCCTCTTATTCCATGGCGTCCCTGACCCCCCCCCGGGCCGCGCACGCGCCGCCGGTCATGATTTGCACCCCCCCCGTCTTGGACACCCCCCTTCTTGGCCGATCCCGAGACCCGTGTCCTGGATTCCAGGGGTAGGGGGGCCCAGCGCCGACCCGGGAGATCCGCGCGGGCCTCCGCGAATCTGTGTCATGCATGCTGTGTGTGTGTGTGTTCTCACCTGTTCGACGCGAGCCCCTCAATTCGGTCACGCGCGGAGAAGGGCAAGGGGGAGGGGGGAAGGCTTCATGGAAGGAGGCTGCCTCTTGGAAGGCGCGGGCCTTCTCTCTAGATGTCAGGCTGGCGCCTTCTGAGAAGCGGCTCTTTCTAAGGAACCCTCCCCGATCCCTTTGCCCCCCCTGTGCACGCCGCCAACACAGTCGAGCCGCTGAAGGGTAAACCCTTCTCGTTGGGGAGTTCCTTGATTGTTCTACAGTCTGTCTCACGTTTTCCTTCGATATTTCTACAGTCTTTCTGAAGTTCTACAGTCTGTTCTACAGTCTGTCTCAATGATGAAGTTTAACTTCAGAAGACCCCCCCTCCCCCTACCTCGAAGAAGAAACAGCGGCAAACGGATCGTTCGACGATCCGCGTGGATTTCTTGGATCCGCGTTGTGCCTCCCCTGGCGGCGCCTCCGGCGTCGCCCTTGGCGCACTCCGCGCGCCAGGGAGGGGGACCAAGCGCAGATGCAAGACATCCGCGCGGACCTTCGAAAGTTCATGTTAATTGATGGGCATGCTTTCCACCACTGCCACCACAGGTTGGATAGGGGGAAGGAGGTGGAGGACGACGGAGGAAGAGGAGGAGGAGGAGGAGGAGGAGGAGAAGGAGGAGAGGGAGGAGGAGGAGGAGGAGGAGGAGGAGGAGGAGGAGGAGGACGGAGGACGATCTTGCGTCCTTGAGGTTTTCGCCGTCCGCCGCCCCAACAATCCCAACTTCGGCTTGCAAGGGTCTTGCGTCCTTACCGCGCGTCCTTATTAGGGTTTTTGACTATATGCGGACCGGTCCTGTGCCGAGCCGTCTTCCCCCGGAGGGCGCGGCGCGGAGGCCCGCCGGGGGGCCAGGGCGCCGCCCCAGGCGGCAGCGGCGGGGACTGCGCCTGAGCTCCCATCCCATCGCCCCCCCCTCCTCCCCCCCCTCCCTCCTGCATCGGGGGAGGAAGAAGCGACGACGACGACGACGACGATGAGGAGGAGGAGAAGCAGGAGGAGGAGGAGGAGGAGGAGGAGGAGGAGGAGGAGGAGGAGGAGGAGGAGGCGGGGGATGGGGAGGAGGAGGGCGTCGGCGGCGGGGGTCGCTGGGCGAGGCGCGTGAAGGAGCGAGGGCGGCTCCTTCGCCCCCCCTCCTCCTGAGCGCTCCCCCCCTCCCCCCCTGCATCGGGGGAGGGAGGAGCTCGCAGGCGATTTTTCTCTCTCCCAACCCCCGAGTTCGACGAGAAATGAGGCCGCCCAGAAAAGTCCCCCCCCCCCCTCCTGAGCGCTCCCCCCCCTCCCCCCCCTGCATCGGGGGAGGAGGAGCTCGCAGGCGATTTCTCTCTCCCAACCCCCGAGTTCGACGAGAAATGAGGCCGCCCAGAAAAGTCCCCCCCCCCCCGCCCCCCCCGCTCCCCCCCTCCCCCCCTTCATCGGGGGAGGGAGGAGCTCGAAGGCGATTTTTCCCTCCCAACCCCCGAGTTCGACGAGAAATGAGGCCGCCCAGAAAAGGGTGGAAGCCCTGGCACACACCCCAAGGGGGTGGTTCGGACGCACCCCTATCGAGGATGGACGCGCCCCCATCGTATATCACAGGGTTGGGCCCAAAATTGTCGGTCCATTAGAGAACCCCACGACGCCTGGGATAGGGGTCGACATACTTGGCTCCAACAAAAGTTTCCTTGGAAACTCGCAACAAGAAGTATATGTGTGCACGCCCATCTGCGACATGAGTTGTCGCGCGCGCGTGCTCTGCGCTCGCGCGCGCGAGATCCCAAGACGCCCCCATGGCCAGAAGATGGTTCCAAGAGGGCCTGAGGCCACAGACGGTAACGTCCAGACGACCCTGGGATGACGCCACCCCAACACGATCGATCGTTCTCTGGATTCCGGACCGTCCCAGGCCGACTCGAAGATGACCGAACACATGAGCCACGAGTGACGCCGCGATGGCCCGATGGCAACGAGATGGATCCACGCGCGCCCAGGGTGGCCCCAGAATGAGTACGCGACGGCTGCGCGATCCAAGCATGACCGAGGTACGATCTCATTATGATTTCAAGACGACCCTGACATGCCTGGAATGTTGCAACTGAGGAGCCTCATCTTACTTCGAATCGATCCCAGCATGGCGGGATCCCTGGGCGACCCGGGATAATTGCTTGCTGCTTACCCTATGTTTAATGGGTGGGATGTTCGTCTGACTGGACTAAATTTGTAATGCTCAAGGGGAGTAAGTTAAGCGGATGGATTCCCGCCCAACCCACGGCACAATGCTACGGTTCTACGGGGGGTCGGGGGGTGCGGACAAGGCGGCGTCATTTACATCCGTTGTTTGCCGCAAGCTTTCCAACGGCCTTCCGCCGTTTTCCGCCTCGTTTTACTTCCGTCGGCTTCCGCTAGCGAGCGACATGACGACATTCAAGGATCTTTCATCGGGCCCATTTATCCCCTGTTAGAAGCGACGCCACCACCACCATCGAAGAACTCAGAACGGCATAAGCATAATGAATGTTCGACGTTCTGCGCGGATTTTGGGGATCTGCGCTGGAGCTGCCTGGCGGCGCATCGGGCGCCGTCCCTAGCGCGCACCGCGCGCCAGAAAGGAGGCTCCATCTCCATCTCAGACATTGCCATAGACACAGACATAGTCATAGACATGGGCAGACTTATGCATATGCATACACATGTACAATGTATGTGCATATCTAGCCACATACACGCATGCATACATATGTACATATATATATACACATACATACATACATACATACATACATACATGCATACATACATACATACATACATACATACATACGTACGTACATACATACATACATACATACATACATACATACATACATACATACATACATACACATACAGACGTGTATGTATATACATGGATGTGAGTGTATGCATTTAGATACGTATATATGTGTGCGCATATATATATGTATACGTATATCTATATATACATATATATACATATCTATATATATATATATATATATATATATATCGCCATGTCGTATCCATCCTGCACTCCTTCCTCCCCCCGCGCGCGCGCGGTCGGGCCGCACAGACCGGCGACCGCTGGAGCACGCCCGTGCGCGCGAGCGCCGCTGGCGGAGGAATCGGGCGCACGGCCCGCCCTGCCCGCGGCGGCCCGCGGCCCGCCCGGGGGGGCGCGGCCCCAGAGATCCGCTGCTCCTCCTCCTCCTCCTCCTCTTCGTCCTCCTCCTCCTCCTCCTCCTCCTCATCCTCTTCCCCGGGACCTTCATCCTGGTTCGCTTTTTGACGGTCCCGAGGCCCGGTAAGGGCCCCCAGAGGCCGAACATCGGGGGCGAAAAAGGGGGGGTGATGACTAGGGGGGCATGGATATCATGGCGTGGGCCATGATATCTCCCCAGATTCCATGGCGCCCCTTCTTTTTTCATGACGTCCCTGGCCTCCCCGCTGGGCCGCGCACATGCCGCCGGTCATGATTTGCACTCCCCCCTCTTGGACACCTCCACTTGGCCGCTCCCGAGACAGAAGTTTTAAGTCGGGCCTGGCCATCCTACAGGGGGAATGCTCAAAAATGGTTATAACAAAAAAGTAGTATGGGGGCCATGTTTTTGTTGCACTTGTTTGACAATTTTGGAGCATCTTTGGGGTACTTTTTATTTCTCGTTGAAGATCCCCCTGTAGGGGGACGCGCCCGAACTTAGCAAAAGTTGGAGCGGGCGGTTCTTGGCCGCTTTCGGCCTCCGGGGGCCCTCGCCGGGCGTCGGGGGCGTCAGCAAAGAGCTCGGGACAACAGGCGGTCCTCGGGGAAGTGGTGCAGACCTCCGGGGCCAACGAGAGCCTGGCGTCTCAATGTTTTTCGAGCCGGGCGTCTTCGCTGCTTCTCGGGCCCAGGGGCCCTCACAGACCGATCGGGCTCGAGAGCCGGGGGAGCGTGAGACTTTGGAGTATGCCGGAACTCGGGTCTGCCGGCGTTTTTTGACGAGCGCGTCCTGGATTTTGACCAGTTTCCGTGGGATGTCTGCAGCGGGAGCCCGCTTCAGATTTAAGATGTGGCGTCGTCATTTCCAGAATGGCCTCGTCAGGCTGTAGAGGCTCAGGTTTGAGGCCCGACGCAGTTTAGGTATCTCCGTCTGCCGAAATCGTATTCCCGTTTGCCGCTTTGGCCACCTGCTGATCTGAGGCTTTAGGCTCCCAGGATTATGTTTTCGCACGTGTGTGGCCCATGTGGCGAAGGCCAATTTGTTCTTGCTGCGACAGCGCAGCGCCCTGGTGCATCTTCGGTGCCCGCGTGGTTATCCTGCGTGCGCGTTGGGGCGCGGGAGCAGCCACTCCCTCCTCCTCCTCCTCCTCCTCCTCCTCCTCCTCCTCCTCCTCCTCCTCCTCCTCTCCTCCTCCTCCCTCCTCCTCCCTCCCTCCCTCCTCTCCCTCCCTCCCTCCTCCCTCCCTCCCTCCCTCCTCCTCCTCCTCCTCCTCCTGTCTGCCCGATTATGCGCTGCCCACTGCCTCCCACTGCCGAGCTGCTTTCCACATCCAGCTTAGTTGTAGCCAAACTTCAGCCCGCTGTTTGCCCACCTGCAGCCCACTTCTACCAACAAAATTGTTAGCCCACTTCTAGCCGATTTTTAGCCCACTGTTTGCCCACTTTTAGCCCATTTCTAGTCCACTTGTAAGCCCACGTTTAGCCCACTTTTAGTCCATTGTTGGCCCGCGCGCGCCCGATCTGTCAGTTGCTTGCCCCTGAGGCCCGCCGTGAATGCACAAACTACAACCTGGAATACAGCTGTGGTGGCGAGATTACAGAATCAACCGAAAAGCATTAGACACCCTCGGGCGACCAGACATAGGAAAACGTCGACCGGGTTCATGAATTCGCAGGACGAGGATGCGGCGGAGATTCGCAGGAGCATACGAGGATGCGGCGAAGATTTACGGGAGCATTTTAGCCATTTTCTAGCACATTTTTAGTAAGTTTTTAACCCACATTTAGCCCGGTTGTTGGCCGCGTGGTCGGAGACGTCGTGAGGCGAGTGCGATAGCAGCGAGGACGAGGAAGAGATGCGCGGGGGGCAGGAGGGGGAAAACGAGGAGGAGGAGGACGAGGAGGCAGAATGAGGAGGGAGGAGGAGGAGGAGGAGGAGGCGGGAAACTGCACGCGGCAAGTCGTGGCAATCTAAACGGTCGCAGCCGGGGGCGCGCGCTGCCTGCAAAAGACGCCAGCACCCGCTGGGGAGTGCGGCGCACACATATAGGGGTGAGGGTGTCAGTGCAACGAAGAGGTGGCCACTTCGAGAATACGCCCCGGATGGCTGGCGACCCTCTTCTTCGCCGCAGGGGCGGCGGGTTTGGGCAGGGCGCCACGGCGCCTCTGGCGGAGACACCAGATCATCGTCTGGCGGTTTCTGGCCTCTCCCCTGAGCCTGCACACGTCAGGCCAACCCGAGTCCCCCGATCCCGAGTCTTCACATCTCCCACAGCACAGTGGCGCAGAAAGATCGGGTCTGGGGCTCTTGGCGTGATTTGCTTCGAGTCTGCATTTTCTTCGCTACATCGGATCTCCGGGGTGGCTGTGGTGGCTGTGGAGCTGGACCTCGTCGCTTTCTGACTCGGCCAGCCTGCGCGACGGCTAGGCTTGGCAGGCGCCGGCTTGGAGGAGGAGGAGGAGGAGGAGGAGGTGGAGGAGGAGGAGGAGGAGGAGGTGAGAGGAGGAGGAGGAGGAGGAGGAGGAGCAGGAGGAGGAGGAGCAGGAGGAGCAGGAGGAGGCGCGGCCCTCCTGCCCGCGCCCTCCTGCCCGGCCGAGGGGGGCGGGGCCCGCGCGTCCCCGTCCCCCGGTCCCCAGTTTGCGCAGAGGTTGGTGCAATTAACCGCAGCTTGGCATCGCTCGGACGTGTGCATTTTTCCTTCGGCGAGGACCATCGAGGAGCATCCTTGATCATTTAGCGAAAAAA